GGTTGCTGTTTGAGAAGACTAATGTGTTTGACCGCCTGTGCGTTCCCAACAGCGAAGAGATTCGTAGTCTAATTCTAAGGGAATGTCACGATACTTAGGGACACTTCGGTTGGCAAAAGACGTTAGCCAATCTGATGCGTGCGTACACATGGCCAGGGATGAAGAACGACTGCATAGAGTATATCCGCGGTTGTAAAGTGTGCCAGAGGAATAAATCTACTACACGCGCGCCCCTAGGTCTTCTCAGACCCTTGCCTATTCCGGATCAGCCGGGAGACTCGGTATCCATAGACTTCATAGTGCATACAACAACAGCGTGCATCTATCCACCTGCCGCACCCCCAATGAGTTGCACAAGTCCTTCAGACCGCGCAGACCGTTCGAAGGACTGAACAGGGATCAGATTCACAGATTACCACCCGGTACGAGGGAGTTTACGATACAGCACGAAAAGGAATTAGCCACTGTTGTTGAGAACCTACGGAAGGCCCAGCACAGAATGATAGAGCAGGCTAACAAACACCGTCGCCCATCACAGTTTCAAGTAGGCGACTTAGTCTGGGTCAAGGCAAAAGAGTTTGCACCGGAAGAAAACATCTCGCAGAAGTTACTGCCTGCATGTAGAGGACCGTGGCTGGTTCTAGAAGTCAAGGGCGGAGAGGATGGACCGTCCTATAGCATTGAGATTCCAGCACACCTTCACACATACCCTGTGTTTCATGCTTCAAAGCTGCTGCCGTGTATCACTAGTCAACAGTTCCCTTCCAGGAGATCCATGATTCCACCGGATATGGATGGAAGCTATGACATAGAGGGCGTTGTAGAAGAGGATGTGTTTAGGACAGGAGGCAGAGGTCGTCCCCAGAAACAGTATAAGGTCCGGTTTGCTTATCAGGAACCGGAAGACGACCGCTGGTTCACGAAAGCAGAACTTCTAGAGACCGCTCCCGACATAGTCAGGGCCTACGAGCGTGACAAGAAAGGTAAAGGTCCTGCCTTGGACTAAAATTTTCTCGGAGGACCTCGAATTTAGGACGGCGGGAGTGAAACGGTTTTCACCTTTTAGCAGTAGCGGATGCAGTACCCAGGGTTCGATCCCTAGACCTCACCCTACCCATGTACAGTATCTGTGTAGACCCCGAGAATTGAACCTGTGACCTGTGTATTCGTAGGCAGTTGATAGACCTGTCGTAGGTCCATAGACAGCAGGGGTTCGATCTGTAGGTCTATAGCGTAGGAGTCTTAGTGAGTTCTGGAAGCTTAGCTGTAGACCTTCTAGAAGGTAGGCAAGTGGGCAAGTGGTCAAGTGGTGAGGCAAGTGGTGGACTAAACCGCAGTGCAACGGCGGTAGGATAGCGGTGAGTCCACAGTCAGTCAACGGAAGGTCCAGTCAGTCCCAGTCCAGTCCAGCAAGTACCACAGGGGGACTGTATGCACCAAGGGCCGATGGAAAAGGGCAGACCAACGAGTTTCTGAAGTATAAATCAAGAGGCAGCGCCCAGACATTCATTCATTCCTGCGTGAGACATGCGGAAGCGCTGCCACAGCGACTTGTGCAGATGAGCCCCGAGGCACAGTGGGCAAGAGAGGGGGAGTTAGCACAGCGATAGGTTAGAGGCAGCCATAGCTGCCATAGCTGTAGTTAGTAGTGAGTGTGTGTGTGTGCTCAAGTTAGAGTGATGCGTGTGGGATATCCAGGGTGATCCAGTGTATGTGAACAGTGAGATTTTTGGGCGCTGAAGTCGCCATAGCCAATTGAGAGTGAACTCGTATCTGAAAGCCATATCTCTGAGTTTTGAGTGGGCGCATGTCGCCAGTATGCTGCGTTGCTGTTTACATGCATGAAAAGTGTGTTTGAGAACGAGTCTGATTGCAGCGAGGAATGGGGGGGCAAAAAGCCAAATTACAACAATACCTTCAAAAGGAGGACATTGGTAAACAGTGCCCAGGAAGATTCCACCTCCGGGTCGTACATACGATCCATAGCCTGCACCAAGCGATGTTCTATGTTCTTTGTGAGTTCGGTGTGCCAAAACCCTTGGAGCTTCGATCGAACTTGGTCGGAATCATCGAACAACCCCCGAAGAAGACTCGTGAAAACCAGACGATTCTCTCTGAGATGCTCATCCTTGTTGTAAAGCACTATGAGAATGTCGAAGAACAGTTCACGGCAAGTCACACTTGCATGGCGAGTAAATGTGTTGCACAATCCCTGCAGCAAGAACTTAGTCAGCCTTTGCACATCCAATGTCCGCGGGACCTGCACATCGGTTTGGGGTTCTCCTTCGACGTCCCCATCCCTTCCTTTGGTTAGCATTTTGAGGAGGAGCTTTAAGGTCCTTGCCTGTGCCTGTTCGTCTCGGTGCGATATAAGACCTGGGAGCATAGGTAACATAGAATCGAACAGATCCTGTACGTTCATCTCCGGAAGAGCTTCACAGGTGCGCAAGAGCACATCCAGCGATATTTCCCTAAAGGTACCTTGCTGACCCCCCAGCCTGTCAACGACAAATGAGACGTAATCCCGACCGTAAGATGGGTGTCTCAGCGTAATCTTATTCAGAATATACAAAAAACGGTCATCACATTCACGACAAAACTTCACGAGCTTGACCCGTAGAGGTGTCTCCAACGCCGTCTGCGAAATTGAATCGCCTTTTTGTCCCCTCTCACACAATATCAGACCGATCACCTCCCCAGCCGCTTCATAGATCGCTTTAGCGTTGAACTCTAAATTGCTCAGCAACCTCGAATAGAAACCTCCTTCCGACACAAATCTATCTGTAGCAGGGTCGAAGACTGGCATACCGTAGATGGCCATGGCTCCAATCAGCTGGATGGCTACCGCTCGTTGGACCCTTGCCATGCTAGTGCTCTCTCCACCTCTGCCTGCTCCTTTTCCTCCACTCAATCCCTCAGTAGACCCCAGGCTATTGAATATTATCTCCTTATTGACGGCCAAATGTGTGTTCCACCGCTCTAGAAACATTCTCACAATCTCAAGATTGGCGCGAGTGACCTGTGCGTTCCTGTGCGGAATCACAGCCATTAGATGATTCACGAACCGAGATCCCAGTCGTTCGTCCACTGGATGCGGTAGCCCCCATTCCAACAAGGTGATACAGACATCCCGCAACAGATAGTGAAAGCAGAAACCTCCTGTTTTCCCGGGGTCACTAACTACAGTCTGAACCAGAGGTTGAAACCATTTCTTCGCATATTCTGCAAACACCTTCCTTGCACGCACGATCACTTTGACGAAGAACAACTTCACGTTCAGCGGAGTCACTGGGTTGTCCATTATGGCATGAATCGAACTCATCCAGTCCGGCATGTTCTCTGTCCAGTGCTCTCTGAACTTGTTATACAAGCTCTCAATCACACGAAGAACCGTCCCCATGGCTGGATTCTGATCGAACATGTCATCATCGAGCACTGTGCTCTCTATGACTTCTTCGCCCTCCTTCTGTCCCTCTCCAAGTTTTCCGTTCGCGTCTGATGAAGCATTATCTCCTTCTTTCCCTCCTACAGGTGTGCCAGCACCAGTGACAAAAGCATCTTGGCTTAAGGTTGCACTTACGAGGTACTGAGAGGACATCGTTGCCAAAATCACGCCAGAAGATCCGAGCGGTCGACTCTCTCTCTGTGCTCTCCACTTTGCCTTTGTTGATCGTACGGCATTCTTCTGTCGGGACAAACTGTCTGTCTCAACAGGGAGAACGCTCAGCATTTTCTCTTTGTCTATGAGATTCTGCCATTTGAAGCCCGCGCCGCTCTCTTTGAACAGCGCAACAAACGGTCTCTCTTGCTTTGCAGTTTTCATGAGCACAGCAGCGAGGCAATTGTAGCCTGCTGCATGAAGCTTTCGCATCCTGTCTGCCGATTGTTCCGATCTGACCCCCATCCCCCCAGCAAGTACGGGGTCTTTCTTAGCTTGCGAATCTTCAATAGCCGGACGCATGACCTGGGCCGCGGGAACGACAGGTAGGATATTCTTCTCAATCACATCTAATGGCAGCGAATCAAACAGGAACTGCAACAACCTGTAGAGGGAGACGCGAGTCACAACCCACTCTTCTTCTGTCTCCTCATCCGGCAAATTTGGTTGGCTCCTTAATTGCTGAAGCTCCTGGACGAATCCATTCATTCGTTCTAAATACCACTCCACAAGAGCATCTTCCTTCATCACCCCGAGAACTTTCACAACCAGTCGATGAATTACTGCCTGTCTGAGGCGTGACGGCTTGCTAGTGTCGTTGAAGATCTCCAGGCACCTGTCGAGAATCGCGTTTGCTCCGTCAGGCTCTGAGTTCACCCCTAAACCCTCAGCGAACACGAAAAGGGCGTCCTCCACGGGCTGGAAGTTAATTGAATTTGGGTTCTGAAGAAGAGGGAACAGGACCTCCAGGACGCCAGCATATCGCACCTTGACAAAGGCATCCAACACAGCCTGCAGAAGCCCTTTGTACATCTGCCGCTCGCTAGAGCCGACAATCAGGTGCTCTTCTCGCACCAGGAGCCTGTTCGTCACCAGACGGCTCACTTGGTGGACGACTCTCGACCTCAGCTGCTCGTCTATGCCTGTTCTGAGAAAGAAGGGAACAAGTTTCAGAGCATCCTGAACCAAAAGAGTTCTGGTTTGCACTGATTCCTGCGTCTCTCTTGGCTCAGTCTGATCCACAAAGAACCGTAGAAATCCTTCGACTACTGAATTGTAAGAGGGGCCATCCTTGTACAGTACCACAGGCTTGGCCATTAGATCCTCGAGAAGGAATAACTTTTGCAGAATCGACAAGAACAGTCGTTTATCGCCAATTGATGCGGCGGGTCTGGACCACGCTACGATCAACCACAGTTGCTCAGAGCATGCGGATAAGAAACCTGCTCTGGTGATTTGATCTTTCCCACGCCTGATGTAGTCGTCAATGATCGCTTCCAACAGTAATCTGGCTGTCTGATTACCATCTCTGGCCTTGGAGAGCACCATGTCTAGACATAATCCATAGTCGAACCTGCAAACCTCAACTATCTTTTCGCGAAAATTTACAAAAAAAAAGCTTCCAGCACTCGCTCTCTTTTCCAAGGATGAATCATCAGCTGCCCCTTGGATTATTGGCCCTTCACGACCCTCAACGGTTGCCACGTCAAAAACAAGCTCTAAGATTCGCCGTGCTGACAGACCCAGGGCCATCGACAGGGAGAGCATCTCCATTGCTAACGGTGTTAAAGTCGGTGCGAGCTCTTTCCGAATCTGAAAAAGTGACAAAGCAAGCTGCTCACCAAGTTGCCGCCCTCGGTCCTTCCCGTCTGTCCCCCCCCTATACAGGGCCTTCAGGATTCCGGAAACATGGAGATCATAGTACCCTTTGACAAGTACCAGAGCCTCCAAAGCTCCAGCTGCAGGGCCGCCGTGGCTTTCTGCTGTGCCCATCAAATTGATCTTCCCCAAATCATACTTGTCAGGCTGCCTCCGGACAAGGTCTTGCAAACTCGTCGTGACAGATTCTCCAAACTTGCCCGACAATTGAACGATCTTCCGCAACAGCTTTACAGATTTAGTCCGCACGTCATCTGCTTGCCGAGGAGTCCTAACGACGAGACCCAGATCCCAGGGCCTCAGAATGGAAAGACAGATAAGCCGGGCAAGTTCCTCATCGTTTTCCGGGAGGAAGTCTCGCAGCTCCTCTTCACTGAGCGCATCACCATGCGTGCTTGCGTCAACAACAGTCTGCAGGAATTTGACCCCATGCAGCACAGCAGAGTGCAGTAATCTGTGGAACGCTTCCCTTTCCGAAGGCGTCAGGGCCATCCACACAGTCTTATCCATTTCCATGCGAGCAAACGCTGGGCCCGACATAAATGTCCTTAAAGCGCAACAAGGGTGGAGTGGACTGTTCTCCAAAGCTCCGGTCACGGGATGGAGCTCGTGAATCAAAATGAGCCCATGAGAGAGAGACCATCGAAACCAGTGCAATGAGCGTGCAAAGTCTACCAACCATGGCTGCAAGCTGAGTGGTGAAGAATACCGCCATCGCTCGGGTAAGTGCAGCCGCATCTGGAAAGGGCGCACAATGCTGCCGAGGGAAGAAGATGGGGTTATCTTTCTGCGGAACCAACCGACAGCATCTCCCCCTGCCACAGGCCAAAAAGAAAAAGTTGAGAAACTCTTATTTGAAGTTATTTCATTAATTGAAGTGCATGACAACAACCAAATGGAAAAGCAACGAGTGAGCGAGGGTGCCGATCAAACACATTATAACTTATTAGAGTGAATGATGACGATCACATGAATAAGCAATGAGAGACACACTGCAGTGCTCTTACATCATATATTTCGCAGCGTCACAAAGGGCTCCATCAAGCACACAACTGGCGCACAGTGTGTAAGCTCTTCTAGGCTGATCCCCGTAAACGGTTCCACACAGGAAAATTCTTCCTACGGCATCTTTGAATTCTCCTCGGTACCACAGTAGAGTTATTTCCCCAATTCTCCCCGCGCACCCCCCCCCCCCCCCCCCCCCCCCCCCCCCCCTGCAAAAAAACCCACTTCCCACGATCTCTGCTCGTGCAAGGGAACTACAAACTCCTGCTGCACCAACTGAGTGGATCAAAACTTTGCTCGATTGATCAAAAGTTCTGCTCGTGCCAGGACCATAAGGCCCTGTTTTTTTTTCCCTTCTTTTTTTTTTTTCTTTTTAAACCACCACTACCATTCTCATATCTGGGGCCGCGGGCGCCACGCGCCGTCGATGAAAAATATTGACAACGGCTTGGCGGCTATTTTTCAGGAGTAGGCTACTAGATGCCTGCGGCCAACATATGGGAAAGGTAGTGGTGTTTTAAAGAAAAAGAAAAGAAAGAAAAAAAGGTTGCTATCACTTGCTGATCTTCACGGTTGCCCAAGGAGTTTGAATTTGACAACCAGGACACGATTACAGTTTGGATTTAGAGCTTGAAAAAAAACAAGATACGGGTTGGTTGGGTTTAGAGATTGAAAAAAATAAGATTGTTTGGGTTCACCGTTATCGGTGTAGTGCATTAGGAGAAGAAGGTGTTTCGCTACGATGCCGTTCCTCATCCGTGCCTTGAAAAGCTTTGAGACGCACTGCTCAGGAGATGGACTTCCAGGATATGGATGAAGAGTTCTTGTCGGCATCACACAGACTCTACCTGCCCGGTGACTGGATCAGGTTAAGGGTTCAAATCCCCAACTTCAAAATGTTATCACCAGCATAACAAACCCGTTGCGCAAGTCTGCACATAATATACGAGTTATTACTATCACAGATTCACAGTTCACTGACAGCACAAATATGTACATAGTAGAGGAGTTTTTTTTTTTTTTTTTTTTTCCCTTCACTCCTTCCTCTTCTTTAAAAAAAAAAGGGCGACGGGCTTGAGATATCATCATTGAACTGACCGGCCCCAGGCAATTCAGCATGATTTTAGTTTGTTCATCTGATAGTATGTGGATTCAAACTCAGGAGTTGTACTGCGAAGAACAGAATAAAAACAAAAACACCTGTGAGGCTGCTAGAACGACCCTCCCCGGACCATCTTCTCCTAGAGTCCTTCTGCTGTGTGACTGGGTGCTGCCAGTAAGCTTCCCGGCCAGCAGAGGCCCACAAGGGAAGCAATGGCTTGGGAGGGGGTCGGATAGTGGCAGGCCCCCCCTTGAGTAGGTGACTCGAACCACAAGGGTTGGGCTGACTCTTCTTCAACACTGTTCTTCCGCTTTCTTTTTAATTGTGCTCATGATTGCCGGTGATAAGCAACTGGACTGATGCCCCCCAGAATACAAGGGGCCGGGGAATTTCTGAAGAAAAAAAACAAAAAGTGAAAAAAACTTTAGAAAAGTCTACTTGGACCACGAAGATTTTTCTTCACAGATATACAGTGTCTTTTTAACGGGAAACGGGGGAATTAAACTCCCGTTGAATCCTGTTGAATTTGAAAAAAATACCGTTGAATTCCCGTTAAACGCGAAAATGGGCCGCTCTTGCGCTTTTCGGAAAAACGGAATTGATGCGCAGGGTCCGGAACACGTGGCCCCAGGCAAAAAAAAAAAAAAAAAAAAAAAACCTAGGCTACCAGCCGGGCCGCCCGGGTCCCGGGTGGCCAGCCCGTGCAAGGACCAGCGAAGGTCCAAGCAAAAAACAAAAAAACTAAAAAAAAATCCGAAAAAAAACTATGTTATGCCGAAAAATGAATCGAACAACTTTTGCCTCAGGGCCACATCAAAATTCTTCACCGAATTTTAAATACAAAATAAAAGTTAAACTTTTTTTTTCTTTTCTCTTTTTTTTGACCCGGCCGGGCAAGTGACCCCCAGCCACTCTGGTCGCCTAGAAACAAACCTTAAAAAAAAAAAAAAACATTCCCCCAACCCCTGAAGCACCTCTTATACCACCGAATTCGACCAACACCAACCGGCCTGCCACAAGCCACTCACCAACCCCCTGGCACCAGTCCCCAAACCTACCCGGAAGCCCTCTAAGCCATCTGCCCCCACATCCCCCAAGGCCCCAGTTATGTGTGTGTACGTGTGCTGTGTGTGCGCATATGTGTGTGTGCGTGTGCCTGCGTGTGAGAGTGTCTGTGCATGAATATGTATGTATGCGCGTGTGCTTGTGTATGTGTGTGTTTGTGTGTGTGTGTGTGTGTGTGTGTGTGTGTGTGTGTGTGTGTGNTGTGTGTGTGTGTGTGTGTGTGTGTGTGTGTGTGTGTGTGTGTGTGTGTGCGCGCGCGCATGATTGTTGGCCTCTGTGTGTGTGTGTGTTTGCATGTGTGTGTGTGTGTTTATGTGTGTTTGTGTGTTGTGTCTCTGTGTGTGCGTGCGTGTCTGTTTTCCTTTTCTTATTTGCTTTTATGTTTGTTTGTTTGTTTGTTTGTTTTTTTTTTTTTTTTAATACATGTTTTTGCTATTTTCCTTTTATGTTTTTTTTTTTAAATACATGTTAAAAAAAAATATACATTTTTTTTTTTTTTTAAAGTTCGCAGCCAGGAGGCTGCGCTTGTGTGGATTCCATTTTCGTTGTTTCATGTTCTTGCTATTTTCGGTAAGGTCGTGCAGTACAGCTCCACTTCGTTTGGGGTCTCCGGCAGCAGAAATTAGGGTCCGGTCGCAGTCGTCCTTAAGACCGGTCGTAGGGCAGGTTATCTCGTCAAGGTCGTTGCAGCTTAGTTTCCCTTTTGAGGGATAGAGTTTTTTCCCGTTGAAAACTGGGGGCGGGCGATATGGGTTTGGGCGGGCGATTTGGGTCTATTTTGTTTTTTTTTTTCTCTTCATCTTCCCAGAACTACAGTACCGAAGCATTCTGCTGTTTGTTACCAAGTAACGAAATCTAGAACGGACTGCCCGGCCTCGTTGGCAGGGCTTACTAAGAAAAGAAAACCAAAAAAAAAAAGTACATACCTTTGCCACGAGAGCTGTGGGCTCCACTCTGACCAAATGTGCAAAATGAGCATGAATCTTCTGGTAGAACATAGGTAGATACACTGCTAGTAGTTTAGAGCTTGAAACGCCCTTTTTCCTGGCCGCGTGTGGGGCGGTACAGCCCTCAGTAGCTTGCTAGTCGTTTTTCAGGGTTTTTTTTTTTTTTTTTTTCCCCTCTTGCGATCCAAGAATCTGGGTTCCGTCCGGCGGCCTAGCTCAGTTGGTTAGGCACGCAAGTGGCATTCAGGAGGTTGTGGGTTCAATCCCCGCCTATGGCACTCTTGATGCCAACCAACTGAGATAGCCAGCTGAATCCTCCCAGTCTGTATTGGTAAGGTCTTCAGCCAACACGGGTGTGAGTGCGCGTGCGAGTGGGTTGCGTGTGGTGTGTGGGACATTGTTGGCTTAAGACACAACCATCCAGAAGGCTGCCCATCCCCCACTTCATATGATCACTGTGTACTCAGTGACTGGCCTCTTCAACACCATTGACTTTATAAAAGGAAAAAAAAAAAAACAAAAAAAAAACGACCTTTGCCAAGCTTACTGTCTAGAACATAAATCATGCTACCCGAATGGCTGCGTCCCCGCGTCAAACGCGGTATAACAGTTGTTTTACATCTTTGAAATGTCAATAACCCTATATTTTTAGCTTGGTTTTCTGTTTTTTTTTTAGCTCTAAAAATATCTCTGTGTAATCAAAAAAAAAAAAACTCATTTCATCTGGTTTCTTTTTTTTTTCATTGTCTTTATGTTTTTTAGTTTTTAAAAATAAGAGTGGACCCCGCCACGGCGTAGCTGTGGCGCACAGCAACACTCGCTGATGGCGTCTCATTTTTCTTTCATGTCTCTCTCTCTCTCTCTCTCTCTCTCTCTCTCTCTCTCTCTCTCTCTCTCTCTCTCTTTGTTTCTTCCCATGTTGTGCTTGGCAGGCATC